TGACTGTTGTTAAGAAGCAACGGGGCCTCAACAGGCAACCTGAAGAAAAGCAGAAATACGTAAACATCAAATAAAGAGACAAAAATACAGCAGCAGCAGCAGCAGCAACAACAGCAACAGCAGCAGCAACAGCAGCAGCAGCAGCTGCTGCTGCTGCTGTTGCTGTAGTGTAGGGGGATCAAGGTTAGGATTAGAGTGTAGGATGTGAAGAATATGAATAAATATATTTATTTGTTTTGCTTGTTGATGAATAAGCTGCGCTGCTGCTGCTGCTGCTGCTGCTGCTGCTGCTGCTGCTGCATGTAACACCAAACCCCACCTGCGAACACCCAGCCCCTAAAATATGTTTTAATATTAAAGGACGATAAATGGATTGTTTTAAAATAATTAATTTATTTAATTATATATATTTTTTATTTTTTTATTACTCTTTTATCTTCTTTCTAATCTCTTCATTCTCTACTCTCCGGTGTATGCACAGCTCTCATTGAAGACCCTCAGACCCTGCTTTTCTTCTTCTTTTTCGTATTATTTCTTTATTTTATTTCTTTTTATTTGTTTTTTTATGTTTATTCTGCTTTATTAAAGAGTATTTAAACTTTATACAGCAGTAGACAGCCAGGGCGGCCCGCCTCCCCCCAACAGCACCACAGCAATAAATAAACAAATAAACAAATAAATGAACAAATAAATAAATAAATAAATAAATAAATAAATAATATATAAACATACAGAGCTCTGCATACACCTCAACATTTCCTTAAAGATGAGAAAGCCAAACTCCAGGGCTCTCAATTTTACTCTAACTAAGGGGGGGCCCCCTGCAGCAGCAACAGCAGCAGCACACACCTGTAGACGAACACACGCGCTCATACTGCCCTGCTGCTGATGCTGCTGCTGTTGCTGCTGCTGCAGAGACAGCTGAGCAGCCCAAAGATAAAAGAGAGACTCAGAGACAGCCGGGGGATTCGTTGCTGTTGTACAATAAAGAAGCAGATTGCTGCGGCTGCAACTGCGGCTGCTGCTGCCTGGCTAGTGCAGACGAAGAGGCGGATGCTGCTGCTGATGCAGCTGCTGCTGCTGCATGCGATTGCTGCAGCACAGCAGCAGCAGCAGCAGACGTAGAAGCAGCAGACACGCACTGGACAGAAGAGGATCAAGGAGAAGACGACGGAGACCCCTGCTGCAGCAGCGGCTGCTGCTGCTGTGCTTTCGAGGGCTCTGGGGAGACAGGTGGGCCCTGCAGCGCAGCAGTAGCAGCAGCAGCAGCAGCAGCTGAACGAAGACCTGCTCGGGGGCCTCTTGATAAGCGTATTGTGCTGCAGCGGGAGTTGCAGGAGCTTCATCGCAAGCAGCAGCAGCTCTTAGAGAGACACCAGCGGCTGCAGCTGCAGCGCATGCAGCAGCAGCAGCAGCAACATGCATCTCGCAGCATAAGCCCCGTCGGGGCTCGGCCTCGCAGGCAGCAAAAGAAAGCACCCTGGAATGTAAGCAGCAGCAACTGCAGCAGCAGCAGCAGCAACAGCACGAGCATCAACAGCACAAGCATCAACAGCGCAAGCAGCAACAGCAGCAGCACCAGTAGCAGTAGCAGCACCAGCAGCAGCAGCACAAGCAGCATCAGCAGCAGCACTAACGGCATCATCAACAGCAGCAGCACAAGCAGCAGCAGCAGCAGGATATGTGTGTGTGTGTGTGTTTGCTGCTGCAGTCAGACACAGGGAATGTAGATTGTCATAGAGCAACGGCAGCAGATTTGCTGCTTCGACGGCTGCGCAGCACAAGCCCTCATTCTGCTGCTGCTGCTGCTGCATATAGAGAGAGGCTTGCGGAGATGGAGACAGATTTAAAACCATTCGTGCAGCTGTATAAGGAACGCTTCGGGGGACAGCAGCAGCAGCAGCTGCTGCTGCAGCAGCAAAGACGCATGCGGGTAGCAGCTGCTCGAGCTGCTGCCAGCAGCAGCAGCAGAAACAGACGCAGCATGTATGACTTCGATATTAATTTCAATACGCAGCAGCAGCTCCTCCGCTACAAGCAGTACCAGCAGCTGCAGCAGCAGCTGCAGCAGCAGCAGCAGCAGATTGCCTCGACACCTTTGGAGCTCCAGCCGCTGCAGGCAGAGTTGCTGCAGCAGCAGCGGTTGCTGCTGCAGCAGCAACAGCTGCTAGAACAGCAACTGAAAGAGCTGCAGGACCAGCAGCAGCTACTGCTGCAGCAGCAGCCACAGCAAGGCCCCCCACAACATCAACAGCAACAGCAGCAGCAGCAGCAGCAGCAAGAAGACTCGCTGCTGCTGCCAGCAGCACCGCCCCTGCGTTCACACGCCCCATCGGTAGGGGGCCTCATGAACAGCAGCAAAGGAGCAGCTGCTGCATCTGCTGCGGGCTCCGTGCTGCAGCTGCAGCTGCCTTCGCAGCCGCCGCAGCAGCAGCAGCAGCAAGTGCAGCAGCAGGATGTAGTGCCGCTGCTGCAACAGGAAGCAGCGGCAGTCTTATCCGAAGCTCTTATGCCTGCTGCTGAAGCAAGCGGAGCAGACGCTGCAGCAGCAGGTGCTGCTGCCACTGCTGCTGCTGTTGCTCCTGTTGCTGCTGCTGCTCCTGTTGTAGCTGCTGCTGCTGCGGCGCCGCAGCCCGTGCCCACGCATCCGCAGCAGCAGCAGTTGCTGCAGCAGCAGGCTCAGGACGAAAGGGGACCGGAAGGAGCAGCAGCAGCAGCAGCTGCTGCTAGTGGTGGGTGGACAGAGAATTTGGAGCAGCAGCTGCTGCTGCTGCAGCAGCAAGAGCAGCAACTACTGCAGCAGGAGGAGTTTCTACGCATGCAACTGCAGCAAAAGAAATTGTTAAGGTCTCAGCAAAGGGGAGCTGCTGCTGCAGAGGTGACGGAGACGCAGCAGCAACAGCCAGTGCAGCAGCAGCAAGTGCAGCAGCAGCAGCAGCAGCACAGTGAGGCCTTCCTGCTGCTGCAGCAGCAGCAATGGCGCAGCGTCCCGCTGCAGCCGATGCAGAGGGAAGACAGCAGAAAAATGCAGATTGAGTTGGTATTAGACGCACAGCGCTGTCTCTAGCAGCAGCAGCAGCAGCAGCAGCAGCAGCAACAGCAGCAGCAGCAGCAACAGCACACGATTTAGTTCTTTAATGGGAGCAGTCAAACTGCTTCACGCCAGTTTCCGTGAAGGGAGAGTTTGTTGCTGCTGCTGCAGCAGCAGCAACAAGTGCAGCAGCAGCTACATTACTCTTGCTGCTGCTGCAAAAGCAGCAGCAGCAGCAGCTACATTGCTGCTGCTGCTGCTGCAGCTGCATTTTTGTTACAAAACCTTAGGACAAAAAAACATTCTGGCGACTGTTTGCTTCGTGTTGCAGCTTTGCTGCTGCTGTTGCTGTTGCTGCTGTTGCTGCTGCTGCTGTTGCTGCTGTTGTTGCTGGAGCTAATCACTGCTATAGGGTATTTCCTTGAGGCCGAGTTGTGATATTTGCAGCAGCAGCGGTGCTGCTGACTGCACGTTTGCTGCTTCAAGGTGCTGCAGCAGCTGCAGCAAACGCAGCTGGGTGTGGGGCCCCCATTGGGGCATCGAAGATAAATGCAAACGCAAAGAGCAGACGTGAGACCAGACAGGGCCCAGAAAGGAGACACCACAACCTGCAGCAGCAGCAGCAGCAGCAGCAGCAGCAGCAGCAGGTGCAGCAGCAGCAGCAGGTGCAGCAGGAGGTGTAGCAGCAGCAGGAGAGGTAGCAGTAGCAGCAGCAGGTGCAGCAGGAGATGTAGCAGCAGCAGCAGCAGGTGCAGCAGAAGATGTAGCAGCAGCAGGAGAGGTAGCAGCAGCAGCAGCAAGGGGAGGATATATGCAGATTTGGTGCGGAAGTAGTCCAGGGCAATATCAGTCAGCTGCTTCTCAGTTGTGTTGCTGTTGCTGCTCGTGCTGCAGCAGCAGCAAAATGGCTGAAGCAGCAACAGTAGCAGCAACAGCAGCAGTAGCAGCAGCAGCAGCAGCAACAACAGCAGCTTCTGCTTACCTGGGTGGGCACGGGAGGCGACTGTTTTGGTAGTAACGACAGCAGCAGCACCAGCAGCAGCAGCAAGCTGCAGCAGCAGCAATACTGTTTGCAGCAGGGCCCTTCTATGTGCTTGGGGGCCCCCCCCCAGCAGCGCTGGGTGAAGCAAAGAAGAAATAGAGTCGACAGCAACAATACCGATGGGGGCCCCCCCCCATTTAAAAGGTTTTTCTTTATTAATATTATTAATATTATTATTAATATTATTATTATTATTATTATTATTATTATTATTAATATTATTATTATTATTATCTTTGTATAAATCTATAAACGCTTTTATTAGCTCCTGCAACTCATATACAGTATACACTCTAAAAACAAACAGACGCCCTAACATATCCTCAGCCGTAAGCCCCCTCCCTCTGCTGCTGCTGCTGCTGCTGCTGCTGCTGCTGCTGCTGCTGCTGCTGTTGCTGCTGCTGCTGCTGCATGCAGCAAGAGCGCCTCTGGCGACTTGAATAAATCGCTGGGGGTGGAATCCCCCATCGCAATCAAAATATAAAACACAAACAGGGGGGGGGCCCCCCACTGACTCATCAAGGGGGCCCCCCATTGGGTACTGTGGGGGCCCCCCTAATTCCTTATGTGGGGGGCCCCCCATGGGGTACTGTGGGGGCCCCCCAACAGGGGGCCCCGCAACAGGGGGCCCCCCATCTGGGTTGTTTGGGGGGCCCCCCGTTGGGTACTGTGGGGGCCCCCCACACACAGGGGGCCCCCCATTAGGGTTGTTTGGGGGCCCCCCCATATGTTGATATGGGGGGCCCCCCTGTGGGGGGCCCCCACATGGGGGGCCCCCCGAATGGGTATTAATATATGGGGGGCCCCCCTGTGGGGGGCCCCCTATTGAATTGTTAATATATGGGGGGCCCCGGTGCTGAGGGTGTGTTATATGTTGTATTTGTTTGTGTATATATGTGTTATTGTTTGAGCTGTAGAAAGATTTATATTTATAGTTGATGAAGCAAGAAGCAAACAGCTGCAGCAGCAAAGCCGATTTGCCTACACCTGAAGCCCCAGAGATTTCTATTAAACAATATTTTAAAGTAATGCCGCCCCCTAATGCTGCATCAAGAGAAGGTAGCAGCAAAGGGATATGTAAAGGTTTGCAGCTTGTTAGCAGCTCTAGAGATGTGGGGGGCATGCTAACTCCTGCTGCTGCTGGTGCTGCTGATGCTGATGATGATGATGCTGCTGCTGGTGCTGCTGTTGCTGCGGATATTGCTGCTGATGTTGATGTTGCTGCTGCAGGGGTTGCTGTTGAAGCTGTTGCTGCTGTTGGTGTTGTTGTTGTTGTTGCTGCTGCTGCTGCTGCTGTTGCTGTTGTTGTTGTGCTGCTACGGGTGGGGTAATCAGGTGCGGATGCAGCAGCTGCTGCAGCAGCTGCTGCTGCTGGTGAGCTGCCGTGCTGCACGCCTCTGCTGCTGCTGCTGCTGCTGTTGCAGCACCAGCTGCTGCTGCTGCTGTTAAAGCAGCTGGGGGAGGCGCTCAGCTGCATCCTGCAGCTTTAGTAGTGGGGTTTGAGGGGGGCCCCCTCCGTGCTGCTGCTGCTGCTGCTGCAGCAGCAGCAGCAGCAGCAGCGAATGCAGAGCTGCAAAAGAAAGAAGAGCGTATTACTAATGAATAAAAAAACTATAAAACAGAATCTGTTGCTGTTTTGAAGGGGTAACACCTTCGGAGGGGTTTGGTGTTGCTGCTGCTGCTGCTGCCGCATGCAAATAGATGGGTATGTAGGTTAAAAATATGCAGATTTCGAATAAACAATTATAAATTGTTTATTTTAATTTAATTAATTATTTTCTTCATTTATTTAAGCAGATTTCCGGCGAGCCCCCAGTCAGCAAACGCAGTGGGCGGCTGCGGCTGCTGTACGCTGCAGCGGAAGCTGCTGCCTCTTTGTCTCTTTTTTTCGTTTAAAAATATAATTAAAAAATAAATATAAATATAAATATAAATATATTTATTTAAAATTATATTTTTTCAGTTATTCACCGGAGTTAAATGCTGCAACACGGCTCGCCCTTCCGGTGTCTGCGCAGCAGCAACCGCAGCAGCAGCGGCAGCAGCAGCAGCAGTAGCAGCAAAGTAGGTAAATAATAAATGTGTTGTTTATTTTGAATTTAAATAAATAAACACAGAAGAATAATAATTAATTAATCAATTAATTAATTTATTTATTTATTTCTTTTTTATATACAGCAGCAATATATCTTCAGCGGGGCCCTCAATCTCCACATAACACCATTGGTGTGTATAGCTGCTGCTGTTTATTTTTTTATTTTCTTTATTGCTGTTGTTATTATTTTGAGTTTTTATATTTATTTATTTTTTTCTTTGTCTTTTTTTCTCTTTTATTTCCACTGCTTTTGGGGTGTACAGACACCGCAACTCGCTGTATACCGCCGCTTTACTGCTGCAGACTTCAGGTGTATATGCAGCTCAGCTGGGGTATCTCGCTGTTAAGTTGGGGCTGGATCTGCATGCATGCATACATACATGCATGCATACAGTGTATTCTGAGGGATTAGTTGCCTTGAAGGCGCAGCAAAAGCCGCTAGGTTTATTTTTTTATTTTCTTTATTGCTGTTGTTATTATTTTGAGTTTTTATATTTATTTATTTTTTTCTTTGTCTTTTTTTCTCTTTTATTTCCACTGCTTTTGGGGTGTACAGACACCGCAACTCGCTGTATACCGCCGCTTTACTGCTGCAGACTTCAGGTGTATATGCAGCTCAGCTGGGGTATCTCGCTGTTAAGTTGGGGCTGGATCTGCATGCATGCATACATACATGCATGCATACAGTGTATTCTGAGGGATTAGTTGCCTTGAAGGCGCAGCAAAAGCCGCTAGCTTCAGCGGACAGCAGCAACAACAGCAGCAGCAGCAGCAGCAGCAGCAGAGAAAAGCAGGAGCAGCAAAGAAGAGCAGCAACAGCAGCAGACAGTTGAGACAAAGGGGGCGGATGAGTCGGCAAGAAGAACCTCAAGAAAAACGCAGCAAGCCACAGCAACAGCAACAGCAACAGCAGCAGCAGCAGCAGCAGCAGCAGCAAGAGCTAAGAAGAAGACATCTGAATTGAAGAAGATAAAATAAACAAATAAAATGCAGGAGGACAGACAGTGCAAGGCGGTGGTCGAAGAATGTCAAAGAGATATTTCTCTGCTGACTTTTAAACAACAAACTGTAGCTGTACATGTGCGTTAAACATAAACATTTATCTGTTATTTATTTATTTATTTATTTATTTATTTGTTTGTTTATTTATTTGTTTGCTTGTTTGTTTGTTGGTGCGCTGTATGCGTGCAGGTGGAAGTCTGGCTTCTTGAGGTACAGCAACAGCAGCAGCAGCAACAGCAACAGCAGCAGCAGCAACAGCAACAGCAACAGCAACAGCAACAGCAGCAGCAGCAGCAACAGGCAGCAGATGCACATGCAGATACAATAAGGAGATACAGAAGGGCTTGGTTTAGACAGAGATAAATATAAACAGATGAATGCAAAATAAAAGAGAGAAATCTATCTGCATTTGGTGTTTGCTGCTGCTGCTCTCTTTATGTCTCTCTATTCATTTATCTGTCTCTGTCTCTGTCTCTGTCTCTCTCTATCTGTCTCCTTTGATTTTAATGTCTTTTTCTTCTTGCTGCTGCAGGCTGCTGCTGCTTCTCTCTGTGCTGGTTTGGTTGTGCTGCTACTAAGCAGCGTTTTACTGTCTCTCTTTGTATTCCTTTGGCCTTCAAGCGCTGCTGCTGCTGCTGCTGCTGCTGCTGCTGCTGCTGCATCTGTCTCTTCTTCTGTTATTTGCTGCTGCTATTCAG